CTAAATACTCTCACCCTTGGCCGACACCCTCTCCTTGCCTGGAGCTCTCCCTTTAGGCTCTCCTCCTCTTGCTTGAGCTCGTTGCTTGCAAAAGAAAAATTATTCGGATCCCCTCTTCCCACTACAAAAAAGTTGTTTTTTGCAACGGCAAAACGCCGTCGCAAATACTCCAAACCCCGTCGCTAATAGTTTTTTGCGACGGTAAACTGTTTTTTGCGACGGCAAGTGGGGGGTCGCAAGAGAGGGGGTTGCAAAAGGGCTTTAGCGACGGCAAGGGCCGTCGCCATTATTTTTGCGACGGTAAAAAAAAATTTTTGCGACGGCAAAATTATGTCGCCAAAAAAAGCTACGAAATCTGATTTTTTGCGACGGTAGAGTCTTGCCGTCGCTAAAATAGTTTTGTTGACTGCCAAATCCCGTCGGTAAAAGTATCGTCGCTAATGACTATTGGCGACGGCAACCTAAGCCGTCGCTAAAGGTCTTATTCTCAGTTTAATTCCTACCTTTTGCGACAGGAAAATATATGAAGTAAATGACTGATTTGTATGATCTGAGTCCGTCTGTCTTTCTGGGGGCTGCCCTGCTATTTATACTCGTCAGTGATGACCTTCGAACTGCACTTCGAACCGTCGAACTGCTCCTCCATGATCGCTGATCATGCTTTCTTACAAGTAGTTCCATTACGCCATTACTGGCAGTTGAGCTTCCCTCTTGTACTTGGATTTGAATATGAGTAACCGTTGAAGACACGTCATCTTGCATCCCGTTATTTGATCTAGTGTTACTCAGATCATGTGAGGACCAATATTTATTGCCACGTGTACGATCATGATTAAAGGCTTGAATAACCTTCCTTTATTACCCTTACTATGCCACGTGTCGAACTGTAACTGGCTTTTACAAAATATGTAGCCAACAGTGATATGATAAATAAAAAAATAAAAAAATAAAAAAATAAATTATTTTATATATACCAAACTTGACGTTAATTGGCATTCCTCAATGACACATACTACACAGGACGGACCAGAATAATGAAACGAAAAGAAAGCACAACAAATAAAAAATATATATATATCACCGGGATTCAGCAAAAAGACGCCCCCAACTTGCATGAAGCTATACCTACAACAGTGTTAGATAATAAAGACAAATATATATATTTTTTGTATTAATGACACATACTACAAAGGACGGACCAGAATAATGAAACGAAAAGAAAGCACAACAAATAAAATATATATATATATCACCGGGATTCAGCATAAAGACGCCCCCAACTTGCATGAAGCTATACCTACAACAGTGTTAGATAATAAAGACAAATATATATATTTTTTGTATTTTTTTTAACAACTAAAACCTACAAATTAGTATAAATATACAACAACGACAAAAAAAAAATAAAAAAATGCGGTAAACTAAATTGTAATAAAATAATAAAGGGTTTAGGACCTTTCAAAAAAATAATAAATATACAAAATAAAAGAAAGTGCAATAAAGTAAATATTAATAGTCAGAAATTTATAGTCAGTAGACTTTATTTGTCCTCAAAATTATATATCTAACAGAGATAACTAATCCACAAATGTCCGGTAAAGATAAATAGTCTACAAGTTATAGTCCAATATAAGTATTTCTTTTCTGTGTCATGGAATCAAAATTAATTTTCTTTTTTCAAGTTTATATTTTCTAGATAGAAAGAAAGAAACTAAACTTAATATTTTTTTTTATTTTATAAATGCATTTTTAAATTAAATAATTCTATTTTTAGTAGCCAGCAACGGCCCAAAAATTGTTGTCGTTTACACATTAAAATGTCCTATTTAAAATCAAGTAAAAATAACTATTCTGTAGAATACCGTTTATGATCGTTTGTCAACCCACAAAGACTAATGATGAGAAATATTTTAATTCAAAAATTTAAGATGTAGCTGGTTGTGAATTTTGGAGTGAAAATTAAACTAAATAATTGAGCAATTAATTAAACAAAATGAAATAAATATCTTAATATTTAAAATCCACCACTAACATCATAATTGAGAGTAATTGTACTTAGGCCAAGTTTGAGAACTTGTAAAAAAGTTAAAAAGTCAAAAACTTACTCAAAAAATTAAAAAGTTAACACTATTCACCAAAAGTCAACAATTACGGCTGCACAACTTCCAATTCGAATTTTTCCTTGCAAATCAATTTTTATAATTTTTTATTACATATTTTTCCATAAAAAGTCAAAAAATAACCCAAACATTCATATTTTCAACCTCAATTTTTTAGTCTAAAAAGACAAAAAGTGGACTTATTTAGGACACTCCAAACAACCTCTTAATCTTTAGAAAATTATTGATTTGGATATTGTGATATAAGTTGATTAGAAATATATCGTTAAAATGATATTTGTATATTAAAACCAAAAAATTATGAATTATTTTCGCTTAGTACGGACTGTCACCACTAAACTAAACTAAACTACTATTGATGCATGAGACGTCTTATTAGGTATGACTCGTCTAACCATTTTAATACACAGCAATGAAAATCATTATATAACATAATTTAAATAAAGTATTTATTATACAAAAAGATCTGAAAATTATACAACTGTATTCAAATCAAATCAAAACTAAAAATATTAAATACAACTTATCTCAATTAAGACTTCATTTCTATCCTAAGATAAGAAATTAATTTGTAACACTCATATAAAAATAGGAAATTTATTGAAAAGTCATATTTTGGGAATTTCTGTACCATTTGGTCTCACGTCTTAAATGATTGATGAGGAGTCCTTATTAGGTGTAGTGTGTGACTCGTAAGTCATTTTTCAAACGTGGATGGATATTGGTTAGACAGATATACTCTTACTAGTTAATTGAGGAATTTTTTTTTTTTTTTTTTTTGTGTGTTTTTGGGCATGTATGACAGATATAGTGTGATATTCCAATGTAACACGTATTAATGTGACACTCTATCGATGGAACATTCCAAAAAATTAAAAATTCTTTAGTGTACTTTCTCAAATATGATAACGTGACAAGTATGATGTGATACTCCAAAATTTCTACTCTTCCTTAGTGTACTTTTTCCAAATGTGACAATGTGGTAGGTATGATGTGACACTCCAAAACAAAAAAGAAAACTTCTTAGTATATTTTTTTCAAATATGGCAACGTGACGGATATGTTGACACTCTTAAAAAATTAAAAATTCCTTAGTATATTTTCTTAAACGTGACATGTGACACTCCCAACATGGTGGACCTAATTTGATTGAATTACTGTGTGTCTTCATTTCACACGCCAAAAAATAATAGTAAAAAATTCACGTTACACACTGCGCGTGTTAAAACAACGAAACTTCAAAAAATTAATAGTGTACTTTTCGAACAACGTGACACATAAATACCTCACTAACTTCTCCATACATAACCATGCCACTTATCCTCCAACTATTTTTATAATGACAAAACAGTCAACAAATAATTTAAAGATCACTTAATCATCAAAAAAAATATTTAAGATCTTATAAATTACAGATCTACAAAATGAAATTTAGCGATCAATTCTCCTCGAAAAATCACTCTAATATTTACCAAGTAAATACTTTCACTCTTGGCCGAAGCCCTCCCCCGGGCCAGAGCTCCCCCGTTCTTGCTTAAGCTCGTTGGCTGCAAAAATTCTCAACAAAAACATGCAAAAAGAAAAAGCAAATTATTAAATAAATAAGATAAAAAAAATATGGCAGACAAGTAGTGACGGAGTCAAAAAAAAAAATTAAATTAGGAGAGAAGCTTATTAATTATATTTTTATTTTTTTTCATAATTAACAATAAAAAGATAATAATAATTTTTAAATTAATATTAAGTACAAAAAATTAAATAAATTATTGTAAAAGTATTTCACATAAAATTTTACAATTAATTTTGATTAAAATTGAAAAGAAAGTATTGTGTTTAACTACTGTATCATGGATAATGTAAAAAAAGTTATATATTTAAGTGGTAAAATAAATTATATAATGGTAAGATAAATCAATTTTTTACAAAATTTGAGTAAAAATTTCATATAATAGAGATATCACGTCATTATTGACATATAATATCACACACCAATAGTAAAGCAACATATTAAAGGTGAACTTCACATACAAATATAACTAACACTTTAGTAATTTTTACATATATATAGTGAGATTAATTATATTTTCATATCAATAATGATAGATATTACTTTTATATTGAGATTTTTTTACAAAAATTTCATACATAAAAATATTATTCGTTGTAGTCACTTCATTTTTAATAAAACAATCACTATTATTTTCATAAATTTAAAGCACTCTTAATATTTTATTCTAAATATTTATTTTTATTTAAAATTTTATTTATCACTACAACAAAATGTACTTGTGGCAACTAAAATTGGAGACTAAAAAAAATTTAATCGCCAAAAGTTGTGGAATTGGCGACTAAAAATTTTTTTAGTCGGCAAAAGTATAATATTTAGCTATTAATTTTTTTTAATCGGAATATATTCATTATTGACGGCTAAAAAAAATTTAGTCGCTAAAAATACCAGAATTGGTGACAAAATTTTTTTTTGTCGCCAAATAGTTAGTTTTGGCTGCTAAAACCATTTAGTCACCAAATGTAAAAATAAAAAATTATTTTTCATCTTTGGCGACCAAAAATTTGGTCGCCAAAAATATATTTTCAGTGACTAAAATTATTCTCTGTCGCCAAATAGTTAGTTTTGACCACTAAAATCATTTAGTCGCCTAAGGTAAAAATAAAAAATTATTTTTTATTTTTAGCAACCAAAAATTTTGTCGCTAAAAATATATTTTTAGCGACTGAAATTATTTTGATCGCCAAAGAATTAAAATATTTGAAAAGAAATATTTTAAATTTTGAAGGGATTTATAAAATTAATTAACATTTGCCGACAAAAAAAAATCAATTTGATTGCCAAACGTGTGAATATTTTAGACAAAACAGATGGTTTTCTGACAAAAACAGATTGTTCTCTCTCACACAAATGCTCTTTCACGACCAAACATCACCCATCTCCTTTCACCACCAAACATCACCCACCTCTGTTCACCGCAGACCTTCGTCGTTCTCTCTCTCTCTCTCTAACCCAAACAAACCAAACAAAAATGGAGAAATCAGAAGGAGAAGAGTAAACGCGTGAGTAAACTAGGCGTATCATGAGGAGGGTTCAACAATCACAACGTGCAAAGAAGTTGGTGTAATTCGACGAAGAAGAAGAAGAAGAAGAAGAAGAGCACGATCGAAAGAACAATGGGATTGATTGGAGTGACAACGGTGGTGGACTCTATCAAATCTATTCAATTCCAGCAGGCATTCTCTCGGGCCGTCACTCTCGGTCCCTTCTCTAATACCCCTTTGTCGATTTATACACATTCATTGATCTTTCTGTTTATTTGGGATTTCAATTTACACATAAACTAGTGTTTCCTCTGTTTCTAATATTGAAAATCTGATGTTTTCTATGTCACCCCCTAGATGTTTGCTTCAATGTTTCATAGAATTTTGAAATCTGTTAGTTCCATATTTTTGGGTTCGGTCAAGCATTTTCTGTTTCTTTGATAAACTCTAGTACTGTGTGTGCTGATATGGGTTCTAGAAAAGTGAAAATCAAGATCAATTCAACAATATACAGTTTTGGTCTTGGTGTGAAGCCTTTAAACTTAGGTTTGCTTGGGTAAGTGACAAACTTCCAGAGAAGAACGCCTAAAACAAAGGGAAAAAAGGAAAAAGAAAAAGAAGAAAAGCTAAATAAAATGTTGGGTTCATGATACAAACTAGAAAGCATTGTGATACACAAATATTAAGATTCCAGCTGCTACTGCATGTTGTTGGTTATGCTATTATTAGTACTAGTCTACTAGTGAGCATGGTTGGCCTTTTTGGGTCCTATAGTAAGATGGGTCTTCAAATTTGTCATAATTGATTATATTGATTTATAGTGAAAATAGCAATTTAGCTCAATTTGGCAGCAGCTGTGAACAAACGACTGTATGGAAATTCATCAACTGGACTTGAGTAATCAAAAAAAAAAATCATTCAAAACCTATTTATTTTCTGTAAGTTTCTGCACGTTGATTGCTTTCCTTGTTCACAACAATGATTCTTGTACTGTTTTTTTTACATTTTTTCACCTTGACCCTGTTTCTAGTCGAATTTGTGATTTTTGTCTCGTGGGTTTGATTGGTTGGTTTCCTTTTGGTCCATTTTACTCTTATATTCGGGTCAATGAATCAATGTGCATTAGTGTTCTGTACCTTAATTTTTTGTGTTGAGGAAAAATTTAGCACCAAACCCTTTGATTCCTTTGATTTGTTAGTTGAGGAACCGAAGTGACCACAATGATATGGTTTGGTTTTGTCGTTTAGTTTCATATGCAAATGAATACATGATGTATATCTAAATTTGATGCTGTGATTTGTATCTCTCTTTTTTTTTTTTTTTAACAAAAACTTAGGGATGCATGGCCAATTTGTAGATGGCACTTGAACAACCTGCTGTAAATTCTAATTGAGTTTAAAGGAAAATCGTTTTTGTATATTACATTGATTCCATGACTATTCTATTCTATTTATACAATATATGAGATAAGGATAGATACAAATAATGATAAGAATGATAAATGATAAGATGAGAAGAATGGAGCCATGGATGCATGCATATCTGATATGTGATGGATCAAAGAGATTTGAGTGTGGGATTTATGGTGATTGATATTAAAGATTCCTTTCCCATTACTATTAGATTCCCATTTGGCTTAACCACAAACTAGTTTGTAATATTCCACTTAATTAACCTCTCAAGTATTATGAATGTACTTGTACTTCTTGTGGCTAATGTTATATAATTTTGACTTCTATGACTTATCTACATAATTTTTGACAAACACATTATTTTTATTATATAAAGCATTATATTACCTTCTAATTATGTGTGAGCAAAATACTAAAAAAGTCTTTTTTAAAAAAATACATTTTTTCTTAATTATTTATTTCCATTAAAGACATTCCAACATTGAATACAATACAATTATCATACACTAATAATAAAAATAATAACAATAATGATAATATAATTTTAATAATTAATGTTTTCTTGCTGTATGAAATTTGTCCCTTTGTTCTGACATTATGAAGGTTCCTTGACCTTAGCAATGTACTAATTGGAACATCCCAATTCTATTATAAATATATAAATAAAAAGAAATTAAAATATATATAGGGTCCCATATAAGCAGATTCCTATAATCACCATCAATGCCTCATAATGCACTCACGAGGTGATCTCATGGAGTAGTGTATGAGCTGTTTTGTGAAGTCAACTATTGACACATAATATATTGCATTGGTTCTTTATTGCTTTTTTACTTTGTTAATTATTTGTCGCTTTTATAGTTTTTTTTCTCTATTTCTTTATTACCAAGGACAACATTTCAGTGTATATAAAAGTTTATCATTTGGTTTAAAGGTTTGCCATTTAAGTATGTACTTCTTGCGAGTTGGCTTAGTTTGAATGAGGTGTGGATTAGGCCAGGATTTAAGTACAAGTGTAGAACAAGTTAGTTTTGCCTGCTGTACTGTAGGGACACTTGCCCAATTCATATATTTGATTGAAGAGATGAATAAAATCCTAGTTTGATAAGAATTTTCATGATACTCTTTGGGTTTTGTAATGTAACTAGTTGCTCTAAAAGCTTAACCTATTAGGAAATAAGCCCAACACGTTTTTAAGCTGTCACACCCTCCCTTTATTTGTGACCCCCTATCCAACATGAAGATACAAATTAACACAAGCTAAACTGACACACTGACAAACATATTATACGGTACAAACAAATACAATGATATTTGAACATGTGACGTCTAGAACTAAAGCTCTAGTAACATGTTAAGCAACCAGTTGCCTCAAAAGTTTAATCTGTTAGGGCATGGACTCAACATATATATCAAGCTCTTACATATTTGTATTTGTCATTGAACTTGTAATAATTTGAGACTATTTTGTATTTAAGTTTCTTGATCTTTGTATAGGACCATGAATGGAGGCAAGCCGTAACTGCAGCTGGTTCAGGATGCATTGCTGCTTTATCAGTTGAGAGATATCTTACCGGCAACAATCTCCTTGTTGAATTTCACCAAGTATTCTCAATTCTGATTGTGTTCTATTTGATATGTTATTCTCTTTTGGATATATTACCTGATAATGTGTTGTGTTATCTAATAGCAGACTAATTTGTAGCTCATTAATTGGACTAATATCATACAAACCACTTTGATATTACACCTATTATCTTCTGTCCTAGACAAACTGGACATGAGCACTGCTTAATCCGTGAAACTGGTGAAGTTCCTATGCCTACAACTGTTGGCCATTCCAATGCAACCTGCGGGGATATATTTTCTGAGTACCAGCACGTGACCAAGGCGACGCCGACATGTCAGCCGAGGTGCCACGTGTCCTAGTCGTGACGCCGAGGTGATCTCGGCTAGGCCGAGGTTATCTCCGAAGATATCGAAATCCGAGATAGACGGATAAAGGACAAGAGTCTTAGAATGAGGAAGGACCTCAGCCTAGATAAGAATAAAGCTCTTAGGGAGTTTAGCTTTATTCATTAAAGAGTCCAAGATAAGCACTGAGCTAAAGTCCATTGAAGCTAAGCTTCTATTGGGACTAAGATTGGGTTAACTATAAAAGAGGGGCACCCCCATGGGTCTAAGGTACGCGATTTATATTTTGAACAGTGATTTTAGCACTTGATCTATCATTGAGAGATAACTGACTTGATCATCGGAGTGCCCCGGGTGGACAAACCACCGCCGAAATCTCTTCTTTCTGTTGCAGGTTACTCAGGTGCCATCTATTCTGCCAGTACTCTCCAGCTAAATACTGAGTTGGCAGTGTGGTTAGAAATTCACTCACACAATTTGACACCGTCTATGGGAAAGAAAGGAGAATAGATAGCCAACGACGGACAAAAAGAGAAGATTGAGAATAACACTCCTACTGGGAGTGAGAGACCTGTTGACCTTGACGTCGAAGAGAACAATTGCAACGAAGAGACTCGTGACCAGAATCACGGAGGAAAGGACGTCGACCAGAAGGCGACATACCAAAGAAGACGGACCAAAGCGGGTACTACAACGAAGATAACCTCCAGGTATGGAAAGATAGATGCCTACGGAAGGACGAAAAGATGAAGGGGATGGCGAATAAATTGGTAAACCTACAATCGGTCGTCAATTTCATGATGCAAAATAACGTCATGAAGCCACCATTCCCGATGCAGGGCACGCCGATTCCAGCGGCCAATGCCCAGAATGGAGGGCAGAAAACAATCCCTGTAGCCCTACAGCATGCCAAGAGCGAAAAACACTCTCACCGGCCGACAACGGAGGTTGGGCGAAGAAAGTCGAGAAGGGAAGAATCTCGAAGGACATATCGCACCAAGAAGGCAGACCCCAGAGAACATCGGCATGTTCAAAGACAGGAGTTGTGCTTCGACGCAACTAATGGAGAAAGGTCGAAAAAGGCTCACAACGAAGCTGAGAGCTGTGCACCTAAAAGATTGAAATCAGGAGATAGCCGAGCTCCTGGGCGGACCAAGGAGGACTTGAGAGATTAGCTCAAAATGAAGCAACAAAATGCTGAGGTAACTTCCCCTGTTAAGCCGAGAACACCATTCTCGATGGAGTTGGACAAATTTGAGGAACCAAAAAGATTCAGTATGCCGAGGTTCCAGATATACGATGGGAAGTCGGACCCCAACTTTCACATCGGATTATACCTGAACTCGATGGCACTATACACTGAGAACGAGTCGTTGCTCTGCAAGGTGTTCCCCTCATCCTTCAGGGGGATTGCATTGGATTGGTTTCACAAATTGCCGAAGGGATGTGTGAAGACCTAGGAAGGCCTGGCCGAGATGTTAGTGGCCAGGTTCGTGACAAACAAACTATAGCCATTAAGAGTGGACGTCCTGATGGCTTTGAGAATCAGTGGGGATGAAGGCCTTAGGGCCTACGCAAAAAGGTATTATGAGGTGTTCAACTGAATACCTAAATGTAACCAAGAGGTGGCGGTCGTGTCTTTCAAAAACGGCCTAAAAGATGATTGTGCACTACGAAAGTTATTGGCAAAGACATTGCCAAAAATGATGGAGGAGCTCATGGCCAGAATTGAGAAATACGCCAGAGCTGAGGAAGACACGCCAGAGATTAAGGCGACAAAGCAAAAGAAAGTAAACGGCTCGCCGAAGCGAGGCCAAGGTAACAACGGGTCCAATAAACAAGAGATAGGGCTGAGAACTGCACAGGCAGTCACAACCGTATTTCAAATCCCAATTCACAAAGTCCTGGATAAAATCCGAACCCAACCCTACTTCAGAGCACCAGCCAGGGTACAAGGAGAGTTTATGGGAAGAAACCTTGGAAAGCATTGTGCTTACCATAATGAAGATGGGCATCTGACTCAGGGTTGCAGAGCCTTGAAGTCACACCTAGAAGACCTGGTAAGGCAAGGCCATTTGAAGGACCTTGTAGATGAGGCCAGGACAAAGTAAGAGCATGCAAGACTTCCTCAAGCACCAGCAGCTCCACCACCCCCAGCACAGCAGCCACAGACAGGCGGACCTCGGGTAGTTAATGTAATTCACTCGAAGGTCAACAAAAACGAAATACGAGAAGAGACCCAGAAGGTAAAGCACTTGCAGCATGTGTACTAGATTCGGCAGAAAAGACCTCGGGCCGAGGAGTGCCAGGGACTAGTAGTGTCCTTTACTGAAGCCGACCTGGAGATGGTACAACATCCGCACAACGATGCCTTGATAGTATCCCTCCAGGTTGGGGAATGCCAAGTGAAGCGCATCCTAATTGGCCAAGGCAGCAATTCACTCGAAGGTCAACGAAAACGAAATACGAGGAGAGACCCAGAAGGTAAAGCACTTGCAGCATGTGTACCAGATTCGGCAGAAAAGACCTCGGGCCGAGGAGTGCCAGGGACTAGTAGTGTCCTTTACTGAAGCCGACCTGGAGATGGTACAACATCCGCACAACGATGCCTTGATAGTATCCCTCCAGGTTGGGGAATGCCAAGTGAAGCGCATCCTAATTGGCCAAGGCAGCTCTTGTGACATCATGTATGTCAGATATTACAAGGAGCTGGGCCTTTACCCAAACGACATGGAGCAATCCAATGGCCCAATGGTCGGGTTCAATGGAATGCCGACGTGGCCACTAGGCGCAACAAGCTTGGAAGTGCAGGCTGGCACCAAGAAGATAAAGACAGAGTTCACCGTAATCGACACACCCTCCCCTTACAATGTTATCTGGGAAAGGCCATTGTTGCATGCAATGAGGGCTGTTCCCTCAACATTGCACCAGCTAATGTGGTTTCCAACAGAGCGTGGGATAGAAGAGGTCAGAGGGAATCAGCTGCAGGCAAAGAATTGCTCTATGGAAGCAATGAAATCCACCTGCAGCATACGAGAACCGGAAGGGGCGAAGATCGAAGACGAGGACGTGGAAGTCCTAGAGGACGTCGGCAAGGAGCTCGCCAAAAAGAGTGAAGAAGCCCTAAAGAAAATCCTCGTCCAGCAGGGGGATGAAGAATGCTATTTCCTTCTCGGCTCGTGCTTAGCCGAAGAAGAGGAAAAAGAACTGAAGGCGTTCTTGAGAGCAAACATTGAAGTGTTTGCCTAGACGCCTTGCGAGATGCCTGGCATCGACCCTGAGGTCATTTGCCATAAACTGAACGTAGATAGGTCGGCCAAACCTGTAATCCAACGGGCAAGAAGACCGACGTTGATGCATGTCGAGGCAATAGAAGAGGAAGTAGACAGACTTCTGGAAGCCAGAGCCATTCGAGAGGTAAATTACCCGACATGGTTATCGAACACAGTGGTGGTGAAGAAAAAGAATGGTAAATGGAGGGTATGCGTAGACTTTACCAGCCTAAACAAAGCCTGTCCCAAAGACAGTTTTCCTTTAGCCAAGATTGACCAATTGGTGGATGTCACTTCAGGACATAGAAGGATGAGCTTCTTGGATGCCTACAGGGGGTACCATCAGATAGCTATGTACCCACCAAATGAGGAGAAGACCGCGTTTATCACCCCAAAAGGGTTGTATTGCTATAAAGTGATGCCTTTTGGGTTGAAAAACGCCGGAGCAATCTACGAGAGATTGGTAACCAAGATGTTCAAACATCTAATTGGCAGAACAATGGAAGTCTACATCGATGACATGGTCGTGAAGACCAAATAACCTAAGGGTCATCTAGCCGACCTAAAAGAAGTCTTTGATATCCTTAAAACATATCGGCTCCGACTTAATACATCGAAGTGCGCATTTGGAGTGGGATCTGGTAAGTTCTTGGGATACTTGGTGACTAGAAGAGGCATTGAGGTCAGCCTAGATCAGATCAAGGCCATCTTAAAACTGGAAAGCCTAACATCGACGAAGCAAGTACAGATGTTGATTGGAAGAGCAGCAACCCTGAATAGGTTCGTAAGCAGAAGTTCTAACAAATGCAAACCCTTCTTCAACTTAGTGAAGAAAGCCACAGACTTCTTATGGATAGAAAAATGCCAAGTCGCCCTGGCCGACTTGAAGAAGTATTTGACCACGGCTCTAGTTCTCTCAAATCTATAACCTGGAGAGGAGTTGTTCCTGTACTTAGCAGTTTCAGAACATGCAGTAAGCATAGTGATAATCCGAGAAGAAAAATGGGAACAAATGGCTATTTACTATGTAAGCAAAACCCTAGCTGATGCCGAAACTAGGTATTTACCCCTGGAGAAGTTAACGCTGGCCTTAGTAATGGCTTCAAAGAAGCTGAACCATTACTTTCAAGCCCACAAAATTGTGGTGTTGACTGAACATCCTTTGAAGTCCCTGTTACAGCAGAGAAATCTGACAGGCAGAATAGCCAGGTGGAAAGTAGCCTTGGGCCAGAATGACCTGGAATACAGACCCAGAACAGCAATTAAAGGCCAAGTCTTGGCTAACTTTTTGGCCGAGTTCACTCCAGGAGCCATCGTACCTCGGGCTCCGTTGAGCTGAGGTGTACGACGTACAAATGAGCAAAGAAGAGCCCAGCCGAAGGAACCAGAACAAAGGAAGGAAGAAAACTCAGGCCCTGC